TATTTGTTTGTATTTTTAGGCATTTTAATTTTCATTTACATCACTCATCATTTAACAGGGCAGGGGTATCTTTGAGTGGTGCACAAACACTGCTCTTTAGTGCATATTGAAAACAACAACAAACAGTCTAACCTTGTAATGCTGTGGCACTCTGCCAGGAAGGTTTCCTAAGGACTTTTACTTCCAGCCCACATAGCAACAAGAATGGCCGCCACCGTTTGACATGCATGGTGCTGCCCGCTGACGCACTTTGATCACATCACGTCAGACTTCTTATAAAATTGTGGAGCAATTGCACTGATAAAGAAATTGTGTTCTGCAACTCAAAGCTGTCTCTTTTATGAAAAAGTCACAGTCGGTACTCATCTAAAGATGACGGTATCATGTTGCTAAACAACAAAAGAACATTTTAAGCAGTAGGAAGTTGACATGGTAGATAACTTTGTAACATTTCCTTTCTCTCGCTGTCTCTAGGGCACACTAGTGCTGAGTCTCAGGAGGCTGTGAGCAGGTTGTGTGTCTGTGCAGAGGTGTCCTGTTTCCCCTCTCCTCACTGTGGCCTCCTGTCCCACTCGTGGCTGGGTCTCAAAGGGCTCTTTGATGAGGCTTTTCATCGCGCACCTCACCGCCAAGAACCACACCTGGCAGGTACACAGCCCCACGAGCCAGAGCAAACAAAAGATACTCTGTCCAGCTTTATTGGAAATTAATTTCCTCTCCAAAAACACTTAGCATTTATAAAACAGGAAGAAAGGAGACAAATGATATGGGCAAGATAGGAACATGGCTCATCACTGAGCTGAGTACATTGCTTTCAGCAAGAGAATTATTAAAGCTAATTGTTTATTGTGTCAACCGAATCTACACAGTTATATTTATTTTCATTATAGCTACAGTACACACAGCCATGCAAGTTACTCACCAGGATATATGATATTTTTATTGGTTGTATTATGGCCTGTATTATGTCTAGGTGCAGTTCCCATGCACCTTGCATGGACAGTACAGCCCTTTCACTGCCCTGCCCCATATGCCTCTGGCCCATCATAGGATCATCTTCTTCCTCCCTTATCTACAGTTCAAAGCCTGTTGACTGAATTATCTGTGTGCAGTAACAGAGAGAGGAAACAACTGTCGGCGTGCCTCAGTCAGCCACCCTGACAGCTGCTGGTAACTGCTCTGTGACTGGTCCTGTGCTGAGGAGATGATTCTCTCCACACACTCCTTCTTGCTCCCTATGGAAGTGAGCAGTGGCCTGAGATGATGATAGTAATAGTAAAGAAGTTCTCAAGTTTGAGTGGCTACAGAGTGTGCTTAACTGAAGTGTTGAAAGAAAAGGTGTGTAGACCTGGAGTAAGACACAGGCCTGTACTCAGTCAAGCCTATTGAACTCTGAATACATATTTCCTGCATTATTTTTAATGTTGGCCTTACACTGTACAATTCCCCTTTATGCTGTAAAATAACTATAGTTATTAAAAAGCACTGGTTGAGGGTGATAAAGCTTGCAGACTCCTACTCCATTTAGAGATATGACACAAAATATCTATCACATTTCGTATAATGAATGAAGCAGGTTATATACAGTACAGTATATATCAGGAAACGTTTTTAATTTCGAACACAACTCATAAATTAATTCAAAACCCATATGCATTTGCATGACTAGCATTAGCCCCGGCCTCCGAGCACATCCTTCGTCCACAGTATAATGTTTCCTATAATATGGCCTGACCCTTATGGCCTGCCGGATACAGTTGATTTAAAGAAGGCCTGAGCTGCTCCACACCTCCACAGATCTGCGGCCGGCCTCTCGTCTGTCTTGGCTCTCTCGCGCACAAGGTCATCCCATAGCCAGTCACGACACTCCAATTAAGGCAACTGATGGACGCAGCTAATTGGTAGGATTTATAACCTCCTTTTATTATGCTTTATGAGGAAGGCAAGTGGAGGGCATTACCATTTATAGGCCCCAGGCTCCACACTGGATCACTGTCATCCTGCTGTCCAGCCAGAATATGCACTACCACAGTGGGTTAAGTGCAAAAACAGAGAGCTCTGGTGCCCTTCGAGATCCTACTTCAGTTTCTATGTTGTGAAGGAAAGAAAAAACATATTCAGAACATCAAAGAGGGTATCAGCTAGACATGAGAAATGTGTGAATATAGTAGGAAGCTCAGGGGACAAGACAGGCAGGACTCATGTAATGAAAGTGTGATTATTGATTGTATTGTCAGGGTGGCTGACCAGAGGCCTGGGCTCCAGTCCATCTGTGGACAATGCAGTCAGTTACACCTCACTGCTCCGTCTAATAAAGAACAGGCAGATTGATGTCACCAGTGCGGTTGAACTCTACCTAACACTCACCAGCATGGCTCCCTGCACACACTTCAATGCACGCAGTTATGGTGGGGCATTTCATTTCCTACTGGCCAAAGAGGGTGATGGGTTAGTCGTACACTAAAAACTCCATATATTTAACTGCAATACTTGAAAAGCTGGAATCAAAACCAAACAGTTTTTTGTGTGTGTGCAGAATGAAAACAACAACAGCCTAACCTTGTAATGTTGTGGCACTGGGCCAATAAGGTTTTCTAAGGACTACTTCCTACATAGCAACAGGAAGCAGTTCCAATGATTTGACATGCGTGGAGCTTCTTACTAATGCACTTAGATTGCATCGAGACAGAGCTCTTAAAAATGTGAAGTAAGTGCACTTGTAATGAAGACACAGTGTTCCATTGCTCCGAGTTGTTCCTGGAGGAGGAAGCCAGTGCCTCCCCCTGAACATTTGGCCGCACTCATAGCCTCTGTGGCAGCCGCACGAGCGATTACTCCTGCGCAGCCAGCCAAAACACAAAAATCAATAAACAATCTCAACGTTTCTGAGGGCCTTTCGTCTGACTTAATAAATGTCTCAATCCACTGTTATGACTTCATTTTGCCTTAACGTCTTCTTCATGTGCATCTTTTGTCGATCAATTAGAGAATGGAGTGCCCCTTCTGTCACGACACCTGCCTTCCATCCGCTGCTGCAGCACACACACACAGACACACACACACACACTCAGACACACCCAGACACACAGTCCAGCGGCCCTGCGCAAGGTGAATGGGATTTTGATACTTCAAATGAGAAGCTGCTCACTTAAATGGCTCATTAGAAACTCCACCATCCACTGCTCATGTCCGCTGGCCTCACTGTGGTTTTTATGGACTAATACAGTTTTTGTCTTTGTTTCCCTTTCAGTCTTTGAACAGCCTTGTACATCATTCATTGTGGAGCAGTTCTTCACCTAAGCTCTGCTGAACATAATAAGACATTATGTTTGGAGAAGTGTACAAGAGAAACAGCATTTTCAGGCTGTCTTTGCCGACCAGTGCCTTTCCCCCAGCCCACTGCTCCTGTCAGCAGCCCTAATCCCGGCGCTGCAGAGATGACAGGTGAGTGCTGCCAGAGCCCCTGGTCTGTGACTAGGAGCTCCGAGAGAATTTCACACGCACACACCCCTCTCTTGTCTCCAATCGATTCTGCCACTTCCCATTATTGTCAATCAGAGGCACATTGTCTCCGCGGGTGGAGCGGTGCGGCAGGCAATTGCCCAGGGCAGCGGGGTGCATTGAGCGGCCTGCCCTGTGCCTGGCAGCCTGTACTCGGGGCTCGCCTCAAGAGGCTGTCTGGGCAACATGCCACAGCTAAAACCTTAAACTGTAGCCTCTTCGCTTTAGTGGAGAATCAAAGAAAGGTGAATCCATCGGAGCACATATGGTAGTTTGTGGGGCAAACACTTCCATTGGGCTGTCAACAGGTAAGTGATGCTGCCCTCTTAGAAGTCACCACCCAGTTAGAAAAATGACAGAATACAATGGCAGAAATAATGGAAGAAAGGGCTCAGGGGTGAGCAAGGGGCAGGAGGTGGTTGTGTTTGGGCCAGGTCCATAAGAACATGTCCGGTGTGGGCGCTCCTGACCTGACAAAGAGCCCTGGAGTGGCGTGCTGGTCAGGTAGGGGAACGCACAACAGCTATAAGCCCTGGAGATTGATGGGAGCACTGGCCTCCCTCTCGCACTGTAAAAGATTATCCGCTCACGCGCTGGAAACAAAGCTGTGATGGAAATTCGTCTCGCATCATCAGCAACAAAATATCTACACGGCCAAGCGGGAGTCTCTCATTTTTCATGGCCAATATATTAAATAAAAAAAGGCATTAAAGAAAAAAAGAGTAGGCAAGGGGGCGGTCTGAGTGATAGCACTAGTTAGTATTTTTTTTTAAACAGCCCACTTGAATCAAGGAGATTATAAGGTTTTTATTGGCTGTCAGGAAACACAACTTTCAGCGTACTTCACCCGCTCAAGCTCGTAACACTCTGATTAGAATGCCAGCAGAAATGAAAAGGGATAGTGGTGGTGAGGGTAGACAGGAGAGCAGCGCGACAAGCACAGATGCCCTGGCTCTGCGTTCTATTCAATACACAACACTGCTGACACACAATAATATCAATGGAGAATTTATATAGCAAAATGTGATGACAGGAACCACTCAAGCCAGGCCTGTTCTTAACCGCATACATAAAACATATCAAGTAGCGTTATCTGGCGCTAAGTGAATGCTGCACTGGGCTGATATGTGAATTTGCTATTAGAGGGGGAACATGTGTCTGGATGAAGAAACGCTCCGGGACACTTGCTTATTTTACACAATGCATTCAAAAGAGAACTTGCCTCACAGTTGCACCGTGTCATGGCAGTGATAAGGAGAAAGTGATAGAGGGTGAGGAGCATGAAGCCGACTGATGTAACTCAGCTGGGGTCACCTACACAGAAGCTTGTATACAGACTACACGCCAAAAAATTATTAAAGAATTAATTAAATACAGTAAATGAAATCAAGATTCAGTTCAAGATTTTTGACTGCAGACACTGGCTTTTTCTCTTTAGGAAGACCATAAGGTAGTCGAATATGTTAATGTGCTTCATCTAAGGAGTCAACAATCACAAATACCCATAAGTAATTTATTGATCAGCTTTTGTAATACATCACATAGGAAACACTGAAACAAGCCTTAATGGCCATTTCACTAACAACATGGGCTGATGAGAACATGATAAAAATGCTAGACTAAGCAGTGCATACACTTGAATATGTTGAACGTGCTGCTGTTTAAATTGTAATTGTTATTCTTCTACATGTACTGTGACACTGCACACTTTCAGTAGATGGGCTAATCCTCTTAAATCATTTACAAAGCAATTAGCCATGCCCCAAACACTATTAAAAATAAAAGATAACAGCCGATTAGATAAGATGCTGTTTATATTTATATACATATCGAATGTGGATAGCTGCCTAAGAACCCTCATCAGAGGATGTATCTAAATCCTTGCATGTCAATCTGTGATTTTAAAAAAAATGACAGTGGTGCACAAGTACGGAACCATCTTCATAAAATACATTAAATATATATTTGTTCAAATGTTTCATGTAGTAGAAAGCAATTATGCATCATATCTGAAATAATATACAATTATAGTGCAAATACTATAAAAGCAGTACCTTTGGTACAGTATATCACAGAAAATCCCAATGAACAAGGCAAACTTAAAAAGCCAGTAGCTGCCAGAAACATGCAACGTTTAAATGTTTTACTGTGGGGTGTTGTCACTTCACAACATCCTTCAGGATGGTTTGGTTCTCAACACTTCTGTTATTCAAAAACAAGCTGCTCTTGAGTGACAGTCAACATGCGTTTGTCAGCAGGAACCAGAAGGCTTCTTTAATGTGTCTCTACTCTAACTGTGTGCTGCATAGAGGAGCAAACACCTCAAACAAGAAAGGAGCCAAAAAGCTAATTCAACAGTGACCTCTGACCTCGGGCACAAAGGGGCTGCTCTGTGTGCATATAGAGGAGGTTCAAACAGACTTTATGATTTCATTATCTGCGTTGTTACTCAGCACAACTCCACCTATCCAGTGGCATGGGAGCCCCCATTCAGCCTCAGACAGAGCAGGCATCACTCATTCACCGGCCTCCTAGGTGCCTTTGTCAGGTGATTGCTGGCGGAAAAAGGAAAACAGATCAATACATCTCCCATGGGACTGACAGGTAATCTTTACCTGGGATGAAATATGAGAATCAGCCGGCTGAATTCCTTAACTGTAACAGGGCAATTGACTAGCTGCAAGGAAGCCATGTGGCCCGCTTCCTGGCCATTAGGAATTCATTTTGAGACATGCACTTGGCTGGGACATCATTACTGTACAGTAACTGTTAATTAGTGTGAAGGCAGGTGAAGTATTACCCACTGCCACTAACAGAGTGGACTGAATATGGACTGAATGTGGAGTAATGGGCCTTTTTCTGTCAATCACTGCAACTATGAGCCAAGAGTCATGTGGATGTTGAATTGTGTGTTTGATTTGATGAGGACTGGTGCTAAAGAATGGTGGATTAGAGGAAGAACCTCAACCCTTTGACTGATCCCTGTGAGGTCTGTCTTCTGTGAGGTATCCATTAGAGCAGTGTGCACACACAGCATTTATAAATGTCATCCCTGGCCAACATGATCACATAAAGCTTTCCCAGACGGATTATTGCACACATATAACTCACATTAATTGGCAAATCTCATTCCACTAAATGCGATTCTTCTCTTGAATGCAGCTTTAAAAATGACCAAAACGACATACAATATGTGGCTGGTGATTCTGCAGTTCATTACACTAAAAAGTTATCTCCTTCTCAGAATACTTTGTGCATACCAAGTGACCCTTGTTGCTATGAAGCACTGTGTTTTTCCCAAGCTTCATATACATGAGCTACTGCATTTATTTTTATAGATACATATATACTTTTTAAGGTAAAGCTTGCATTACCCCTGCAGTTGTGATTGATCTTATAGTTTCTAAAACCTTTGGAACACAGGAAATCTATACCAGTTGAGTTGAGTCTGTCTCTGTTCATGAAACTTATTGTTAAAAAACATTTTTGTTTATAATCAAAAATAACATTTTATCCAAAATCAAGATTGATCAATATTAAACAAAAATGGTCTGCCCAAGCCTGCTTCTGTGAGACTTCTATCTGCTGGCTCAGAGTCGCCTCAAAAGCAGCTGTGCTACACCCCAGTGAAAAGCAGCCTGTTCAAACAGATCTGCTGTGGACCTTGAACTTAAATTTGGAAGAATTTGAATAAAGAAGGTAAGAGGCAGCTCTCTGAACACAGAGACTACACACGTTTGTGTTGTGCTAATGAATACCTTTGTATCAGGTGTAGTATTTCTAATGCATGTTAATGGGAGACCTGTACATTATGTGGATCTCTCCTGGTGGTTTCCTCTCTGAACCCAAAACAGCATGGAGCAGTTACACATTCTGATGCTGGGCTGTGTCTGGCTTCCGTCTGTGTAAAACCATTATGAGAGACCATCCTGACCATCCTCCCTCTGGTGTCCCTGCTGACAAACGTGGCTCTATAAAAGTAGCCATAATTGTTGGATTGTGTAGTAGCAGGTGGCCTGGAGACTGTGCAGAGACAGGAGGAGTTACAGAGTCTTGAGTCAAACAAGAGGCCTCTTGAAGCTGTGTTCTTCCTCCAGGAGATAGCGCAGTCTTAACAAGCCTTGATTGCATTACCATTTGTCAAGCTTAATATACTACCTGCAAAGATGGGCTTTCACTGTAACATGCTGATTTGAACATTAATGATGTGCTTTGTATTTTCCAACTTTGGAAAGCAGGAGTTTTGTGTGTCTTTCACAACAGTCATTTTCCCCAAGGCCTGTGTAGATGTCAGGTCAGTCCAGGTTGAATCTTTGCTTCTGGATGTAGTGTAAGTGACAATCTTTGATGCTCGACAACTCTGGCTTCTGATCATCTCCTCATGGTTTCTCTTTATGGGATAGACTGCATGCTGCAAAAAAACAACACAATTTTCAAAATGTCAGACAAAGCATTGCACACATTTTGTCAAAATCCATAGAAATGGCTTTGTGCTTCATAGATTGAAATAAAACTCTTGCTTTAATAGGCTGAGTATTAAAGAGGTTTTGGTCAAGTCAGCCAAATCCAATTTGGCCCCATATGACTGGTGGCCATAGTTATTAAAAGGCTAATCAGCTCTGCTGCCATGGCATCCCTCCACTCTTCTGGTTACGAAGCTCTAACATTTTATACTGAATTCATTAAATGTTCCCGTCTTGATGTTAAAACTGCACTAAATTTTGCTTTTTCCTCTCACCATAAAGTCAAATATCAAGAAGAAAACCACAACCAATCTTCATTCCAAACAGAGGAACAATTATAGTCTCTGACTTACCTGCTTCAAACTAATCTGACCTGATCTCTCACAAAAAGTTTGCACCGGTCACACAAGACAGTTTTGAGGCTGTCTGGGGGAAGAGGACGAGGAAACCAGAAGTGACATTGTGGCTCTGGGCTGTCTCAGAGGATTAGGCATTACAGCATTCACTGGCATGTGCTTTTGCTCACTCCCATTATATCAGCTGTGCCTCTTTCCAGATGACTTCTTCTCCAAACTGATCCGGCGGCCAAGATAATTGATTAATATTTCTTGAGGGAATGATGGCTAACTGTTGTTGAGGTTCAACCCAAACACTCTGGTTAAACATAGTTAAAGCTTTGAATCAAAATTCAAGCCTTTTCTAACCTGACAGATTTGACATGCACAGGTCTGACTTTAAGTAGACTGGTGTGGATGTGCATAGAACCAGCTCAAGATGTGTTTAAACATTGCATACATTAAAAAGCTTTCAATATGTAACCCTAAAAGATACAACTATGACCAAGTAGTTTTACATCAAGGGCAATGAAAAATTCAAACGATTTTCTTTCAATAGGAGAATTACAGTACAAGCGTTTACTGTGGGTGATAATGGGAGACTGAATGGAACCATCTTAATAAGCTCTCGTGATGCTCTCTATAAACAATCATTACAGGCCTTTCTGAGCACTCCCCTTCCCCTGTTTATTAATCAGCTAATTACACATTGACAGTAATGGGCCTGCTGATTCCCGCACTTAAATGAACAGGGCTGAATAGCTCTTTAATGATTAGCCTTTGTGTTTCTAGCTCCCTCTTTTTCCTCTTCTCTCTCTCTCACTCTCTCCCTCTCTCAGTCACACACACACTCCATGCAAATTTAAATCAGACCTCCCAGCAAGACGGTTTGCAAACAAGTTATAAAAGCAACCAACAGACTTATAAGAATGAGAGAGGAAAAAACAATATAACATTTTAGTAAAACCTCAATGTTAAGCCCAGCCTCTAGCAGCAGCCACGGCTGTCGTCAAAGTTGAGCTGAGCGGTGGGCAGGTGCAGTTTTGTGGGGTTTTTGAAGGACACGGGCAGGGTGCAAAGTGGAGCCGGAGAGGGCGAAATAGTGCGGTGGGCTGCATTTCTGTCAGCAGAAGTGATGGCTGAGTGCTGCCGTTATTTGTCTTGTGCTGCCACGCGGCCCTCGCACCAGCCTGGGCATTAATGAGAGGGGGTCGGACCGCCGGGCAGGAACACGGAGGGCCCAGCCGCAGGTGATCTGTCACAGAGGCGTCTGGAGCCGTTGTGCAGGGGCACACGCCGGGCACATGTGGACACTCCACAAACACACGTCCCATAGGAAAGCATACGTTTAGAGCAGGGGTCTATTTAGCCAAAATGTGACTGTAAGTATAGAAGTATAGAAGTATCTTTACTGCCACTGTTTCCAGTCAGAGATAAAGATGAAGGACGTTGAAGAAGAGAGTAAGGGAGGAGGGAAATGGCAATAATTAATTAGCCTATGCATGAGACCAGGCAAGACTATTAAAATCCATTAGGATCTTTAAACTTACAGATTTATACTACAAATAATTCACACTGGGGAGAAAAGACTCCATTGTTAATAATTTACCACCCTATGGGAATATTTCAAGAGTTCCCTCCATAATCTAACACAAGTTATTGCTATAAGAAACAGCTAGTAGCAAAGAGAGTTGGTGCTTAGAGTTGTACTGTCAGGCTGATGTTGGTGAGAAAAGAAGAAAATGGCCAATTTAAGCCTGAGAAATGGAGTGGTCATCTAATCCAAACAGATCCCTGTCTTGATAAGTTGTGTGTTGTACCTTCCACACTGCTGAGGAAGTGCTAAAAGGGTAAGGGAAGAAGACAATGCAACAGCTGGGTACCGCCTCAGTAATTCCCCACGGAGCCCAGGAAGACACCTCCAGCCGCACACCATTTTCACTCCTGATTACAAAGTTTCAAATCAACCACTAACAGATAGAACACTCTACTTCTTTTGGTCAACTCACATAAGATTCAGGATTCATGTTAAAAGAGCACAACAACAAACTAAGGCGCTAAATGCACTTTGCTTAAAATGCTCATGACAAAGTTTGGAGTTTAAAGTTTAGACAGACTTTTGTGAGGGTGAAGAGTGGGAGAATGAGCATGTCTGTGAGCATTGGTAAGATAACTGAGGTTCAAGCAGTAGTAGACTGTAGACCGCCATGGTACAACTTATACAGCGCAGTAACAGCTGCTGCGCTGGTTACCATGGGATGTCAGTGGTAAATCATAGCAGGCAGAAGAACATAGTTAAAATATAATCTAGGTTGATCTGAAATGAGTATTAAAAGGTCCTACATTACACAAAATGAATTATTGTGAGCTTTACGCCACGTTAGAGTGTTGCTCTACCTTATCAAAAACAAACCTGGAATTGTGTTTTGTTTCATTCACACATTTGAGTAACCCTTTATTATTAGTCTGCCAAAATACTCTGTTATACCTTCTGATGTCATGAAACGGCTGTTTTCAAGTTAACAGGTATTTTTAAACTTTTGTTCAGAGGATATTGGCAATTCCATGGCGGAAATCAGGCAAACGTTCTAGTTAAGGTGTATGGAGTTTAAAAACACACTGAAGCTCTTCATGTATGACATGACATCTCAAGGTGCTTTCTGTTTGAGAGAAGATCTCAGCCTAAACATGAAGGGTTTGTGTGTTAAACATGTGTGAATGAAACAAAAGGCATATGTTTGAAACAGCAAAAATATTTGCCCTTTAATAAATATGTATTTTTAATTAGGTTGTATTGGAATATTTGTTCTTTCTTTAACGTCTCTTTGCTCAAAAAAGCCAGAGGGAACTACATAGATCATGATCCTTTGCTCTGTTTCATTGCAGACTACATGAAGAAATAACAGTTCTAAACACTTGTAAGTCTTAGTTCTTTGGATTAAGTCTTGTCAAGGCATTTTAAGAGGAAAAAGTAGCATATTAACAGTTTTGTTAGCCTCCACAAAATATCACAATAAATATTGTACTGTGAGATGTACATCCTGAAAATATCGTAATGAGAGATTTGGATATTGCTACATCCCTAATCGTGAGCCTCCCCACCATATCGTGAGCTTTCCCACTATATCACAATAAATATCGTACCGTGAGGTTCATACCCTGACGATATTGTATTGTGAGACTTGGATATCGTTACACCTCTGCTAATATTTAATATGATCTGTTGAATGGGTGCTACAACCACACATCTGTCTATCTTCTTTTGGTTGTACCTTGGATTTACATCAATAGCCTCATCATTAGCCATATTCCCTGAATATAAGAATACTACACATATTTCCTGCAAATAGGATATAGGATATAGAAAAATAGCTCTGAAGAGAAGATGGCTGTTTAGTAGATGAGGGATGTCTCATGAGTAAATATGAGGGGGTCCTGTGGAGTGCATCCTTTTTTACTTTTATGGGACATGGTTTAGCACATATGAGGTGAAGGACAGAGCTACTGGCCATTCCATCACTCAGTGCACAGTGCAATAAACGCATGCAATCTGTTTACAAGTAAAGCTTTGGCTGTTTTGAATTCCACCTCGTTTATTTAAATGAACGATGGGCCTTGGTACAGTCTGCCATGCAACAATATTAATACACATCTAACAGCCTCACTGAATCAGGGAACCACCAGCTTTCATTATTTAAATGCCAAATAGCACAAAGAAAGAGGGGCACAGCAGTGGAGGTGGACAAACCAATTCAAATTTCAATCCGACAAAGACAGAAAACGCTGAAGCTAAAGTCTAATGAAAAAAGACACTTGCACTGCTCCGAACAGCCACACCAACTGCTGCCTTATGCCACTTCCAATCGGTCCAAGCTCACGTCACACTTAAGCACATGCAACTTCTACACACTGGAAACTACAATGAACAACTGGGATCCTAGTGCTTGTATTAGTTTGTCAGTTCATATTTCAGTCTTTTGTCAATTCTTGTGGACGTGTTTAACAAAAACAACAAAAATTGCAAATCCAAACGCAATGCTTGTCAAACAAATCACAATTACTCTTGTAGATTTTTTTCCTCAAATTATTCAACCCTATGTTTTCATGTGACTATCGTGAAAAGCAGTATACAAGTATTATTATTATTATTGTTGTATACAAAGAAAATATAGTAACCTGATAAGACGGATGATGATTTGCTCCTCCTCCTTCTCATGTCTTCTGTACAAACTATTCTTGGGTTGATGTTAATCTGCCTGGGAAAGAAAATATGGTTTAGACATATTGCTCTCCTCCAGTATGCTTAATTTTAGATGTATGTGAAGTAAAGGTAAAGTGTGGACCAGTCTCTTACAGAAAGAACATTCCAAAAAGACAAGATAAGACAATAAACAGACAAACAAATCCACAAGCGTATTTAAAGATAGCTACATTTTGTAGAGACATTAACATTTTAATGAATAGTTATTTTCCAAAATTTATTAATACTTGGCACCCCACTTTTGGCAATGATTTATTTTCTTTTTTGCATCCAAAATCAAAACCCATGACATGAGGCTTTAATCAAGCTCTCCAGTAAACCCTATACAACTACTGACATAATTAATACTTCAAATCTATATTATACAATGCCTGCTGTACTATGACCAAAAATAAATAAGTAAAGGGATGTCAGATATAAGATAAGACTAACGAGTATGCCCATAGATTAAACTGAGTTGGAGGGCATCTCTTAATTCAGTTTTACTGTTAGATTGCAGGTTGTTGACAGTCAATATCTCGAAATTACTGGGCTTTTCCACACGAAACAAAGAATGTCAGTATAAATGAACAAAAGTGAAACATTGTTTTACATAGCAGCCTCAGCAAGTGGTTTTTTTTTGTTTTTTGTTTTTTTTTTACTCCATAGACCAGACATGTCAAACTCAGGTCCGGGGGCCAAATTTGGCCCACGATATAATTATATTTGGCCCGCAAGATCATGTCAAATATGTATTAAAGTTGGCCCACCAGGTACAGATAGGCTATAGAGACATTATTTATTTAAAATCTTATTATTTTATATTATGCTTGTTCTAGATTCAATGTTTAAGCAAAACTATGATTAAACATGTAGATGCTGTGGAAATTTAAGAGTACGGTAATATGGCAAGTTTGTAGAGACAATTCCTACCTAATAATACTAATACATTCAACGCTTGGATCATTAGATTGAATACTTGTTTCAAAATTTGTTAAGTTATAAAGACCCATCCCAACCCTCCATCTGAAAATATGGCACCATCAAATTCAAAAACATGGATGCAAGGAATAAAATTGAGACAAGGCATCTGTCATTAACCCCAACAGGCTCATGGAGGACTGCAGCATTACAAAGCCCTTTGGCCCATCAGCCCCATGCTACAACCAGCCCCACTCTACAACCAGGTCTGTCTGAACAGTCTTTAACTGCAGCATGTTCCGTGACCTCAGCTCCCATAAATCACCTGACAGGCGTGTGGCAGTGTGGGGTGTCGAGATGAGGGCAGTCTGCGCTTTGAGCCAAGTCTCTATGTTGTATAATCAATAGATATAAAACTAAACTGCCTGTGCGTTATTCTCCCCATGCTACCCGACTCTAATAAAATCCTAGTAATGCATATTTCATTTACTTTTATACTTATTGATTAGCTGTAGTCCAGTTAGTAAATCACGCGCCTATCGATCCCTCAATCGTACCTCTGTCGGACAGCACATAACCAGCCATTTGTGCCCCTGATAAAGAGCTCAAGCATTCAACTCCCCACAGTAAATCTTTGCAAACTAACTTTTTAATTCTAAAATCAATGCCTGTTTAAATGTGGCATTATTTCACAAGGCACTCACGTGGTATTAAAAGTAATTCTCTGATGTATTTAGTCTTAATGTGTGACTGACCATCCCCTCAATTCTTCCCTTGGGAGCAAAGGGGCATCAAGAGAAACTGGGTGACCACCAGGGAGTCACAGGAATCACACTTAGCATAAGGCTAATTGGACAAGAAAATATATCAACCAGCTTACCAACCATAACTATACATTCATTCTACTCAACTAATACGCTTTACCTGAATTGGAGTAGATCTCACAAGATACCCTTTTATTTTTAACAGCTGATGAATCTTGGTTATGTTTGTATAAAATAAGCAGTGAACCATGCACTTTGTAAAACTGATGGTAAAGAAAGTGGTCTCTCCTTCAGGATAGATTGTGAGGCTTCTAAATGCCAGATAGTCTCTTGGGGCACAGGGTGACAACCACTGACACCAGGGTCAATTGTAATTTTGGCTGCCACATCCAAAAGCAAATATATCAATGAAAAATAATGAATCAAAAGAGGAGTTGGGAGGCACTGTTACAAAATAGCCATCTATTTTCATTAGGGTACATAGCGCTGCAGGTGTGAGCAGGATCTCAAGATTAATAGAGGTATTCAAATGAATCAGAAAGGATTAGGCCCTCCAGGGAGCACAATCAATGAATCCAAATCAATAATCAATAGGCCACTCACACCAATATACTAACTGCTGACTCCAAGATCTCACAATTAAAATAAAAACTGCAAAGGGAGTGGCCTCAGAGTGTGATTTATCTCTCAGCGCAAGTGTCATTTAGAAATAAATAAGTCAATAGATAAAAGCTGCCGCCGGTCGGCTCAGGTGGGAGGCAGTTATGCATTTTAACATAGCCGCTGGCTCCGAGCATTACCCTCAAATCTGGCAAAGCAAAGGGCCTATTCACGCACAGATACAAGGATAAACAGCACGCAGCCTTTATCACTTACCATCAAATCTCTGATCGCTACCGTCAACTGCTGCTAAACAGGAGATGACAGCTTTTATAAATACAGTATCATTTCAGGCGGGCTGCCCTACAAGATTAATGCTTACAAGTGCTCCAGCGAGAAAACACTTTTCTCTCAAGGGTGTAGGAACACACAGGAGAAGTCAGATGCACTTGGGCAAAGATTTATCCAGCAAGCAAAGAAATAAAATGGATTTGAGTGGTGGCTTTTGGCTGCATTCTGCACCAAACACTCGGTAAATAAGCCAACATTAGTTTGAGTTGAGGATGAGGACTGAGGAGCCATCTCACCGGAGACTGGATTTGAGCAGCTCAGGGAAAAAGAACTAGCTTGTGCCGTCCAACGGGACACATCAGAAGCCCCTCTCGTCAACCCCCGCCTCTCCCTCAATCATTTGGGAGTATGATTTATACTTTTTGAAGTGAAGGGTCTTGAATCCCACTATAAAGGAATTAAGAGGTCTCCCCTGAGTCCAGCATTCAAATGAGAGCATGGCAGGGATATGAGGGCTTTTTAATAGAGAGAAATTAGTATTCACAATGCCTCAAACTGGAATCTGAAGGAACCTTTCAGGTGGAGAAAAAAGGCCCAGTTTAGAAAAGAAAGCCCTAAGAAGTCAGGGGCTTTTCATAACAGTCGTGTATTTGCCCCTCATCAAGAGCGCTGGAGCACTTTGTGGAATAACCCAAGAGACATGATGGAGAGAGACGATAGAGAAAGAGAGTGTGAAACTAAATTAAGCATGCAATAAATACTGTAAAAGTGGAAACAATAAAATGTGGAGTCCCACTGTCTCGGGGCAAAAGGGCTGTTTGGCTTCTCAGCGGTTCCCCGTGCAGATCCAACACTTCCAGGGATGACTGCCAGCAATGCAACACTTTGACAAACGTCTTCTGAATAAACCTTTGTGTGGTCCCAAACATGGGGGAATGGAAATCTGCATTACAACTATGTAAACATATACTCTTTCACTGTATCACAATAGTGACCTTGAAAACTCAACAGATAAGTTTTATGGCTGTTGTTATAAAACCACCATCTATTTCAAACTGAGTCGCATCAACTAAAAGTATTGTAGACTATATTTTCTCTATAGTGAGATGATCATAAAATTGTTTATCAATACATTGACCTTCAGTGAGATTTCTAATAGGCCCTAGAGAGGCATTTGTTTGAACATGGCATGACATACCTGTTAGTGCGAATAGAGGAGGAACATCTGAGATGGGAGCTCTCTGACATCATGTCAATAGGACGCACCGGTGATGGGCACAGAGTGTTCAACTGAAATCAATGACATTCAGATTTTCAGAATTGACAAAGACAATTATATGTCCACATTGTAAAGATGTGCTATACCACACCTGGCTTTGTTCTTGACTCCCAAATGAGGACAACCAAAAACTGAAATAAAAAATAAAACATTTTTACAACTTTATTTCTTTATAACCTTTTTATTGTAACTTACCCTCTCTGATAGCGGTCTTCAGATAAGTGTCTCAGTCTCCTCACAAATACTGGTATACGGCCTCCCTAAAATATATTTTTAAAGTGAAATTTACATCATTTCTGCAATTGTGTGGTGAAAGAGGCAGATGGTGACCATAACCTTGGTTGGAATCCGTCTTCTTTCCTTTCGGATCGAGCAGGCAGCAGTGCCAGCCAGACGGGAACAATACCCTGTCAATATTTACATTCATTAGCCATTATAAGTCATCGTTGCAGATTTTGTTTACATGATGCTTTATAAAACAGAAGTTCTATTCAACAAACCATAATTTTTCACATTGTAAATTGTACAAGTCAGAAAATTCAACTGAACTCTGATCATGCTTTTAGAAGAAAACAAGCTTTTATCATATTGGAAGTATAGTTCCTCTACCTCGAGAAGGTCGTGCTGGGTGCAGGAAAGTGGCTGAGGAGCAATTATCCTTCAGGGACTGCTGGCTGTCTGAGTCCCAGTTGGGTCGAAGACTGGTTACACTTGTCCTGACTCCACAGTCTCCCTCAACAAACCAGTCACTTTGTTCATCATCACCTAAACAAAACATATCCTGGTCAGAAATTAGTATTATACCAGTATTATACCAGTTGACCGTCCATAGTCCTGTCAGTCAGTAAAGCACAGAACAGAGTCAAGGTGTAGTGACAACTGTTAAATCAGAGTGGGCCTTGCCTCCCCACGGCTAATGAGGATAGTAAAGGCTTCAGCGCTCATTAACATGACATGACAACATCTTATTAGAGCCGCTTAGCTGCCCAGCTCCCAGCCACTGTATCCAAACCTCAGCTATACCCATGTATTCTCCCAGGAGTGGAGTTACTGTGGGAATACTTATTTTTCACCATTTTACAAACAGACAGGATTATCAAATGTGTCTGCACCTACTTTAAAAAAAAAAAGACAACTTTTATTTTATTACATGATAATTAAATTTATGTGCATGTGAAGGTACTGAAAGTTTACCTTGTCTCCCTTCATCATTAGTGAATAGGCCAGGATCACTGCTGCAGGTACTGCTGGTCTCTCTGCAAAGGGAGAAGAATATAATATAACTATTTGCTATGGACAGTATAACAAACATTCAAACCTTCTACTTAGATTTGTAATTTTGAAGATGAAATACGCTTAAGCCTGCCAGGGTCAGAAAATTCAACATACGTAATGTCAATGTTTAACATATTCAATGATAGATACAATGAAGTAGTCCAGAGCTGGAGGTCACTATAAATGAAAATAACTCAAAAGACAAGAGCGTGCGGTGTGCTCCCTTGTTGCACTACCAAACACAAAGGCATGAGGAGCAGGTCTGAGTGACATGCACAATCTAATTGAATATCCTCCGCTGTCAGCTCCAATCTAATCGGGCCTGTGTTGTGGAGGATGACAGAAGAGCCAAGTGCATTCCCCAGGCCCCCCGCCCTCTGGGTGAGCCCCATTCTGGGGGGCCTCTGCTGCACTACAACTGGCTAACATCTGCTGTGGCTGTGACGGCCTGGCCGGTCCCGCTGCCGTGCTCCTCACCCCGGGGCTAACCCTGCGACGCTGCTGGGTCTGTGTCGTTCTCACACCTCAGCTATCAGGCACTGTGACCTCTGCACACTTCAAGGTTACTGGGAGGAGAAGGAGGGAAGATGAGGTGAAACTTCCAGTTTTGTCATAGGCATAGTTTTCATAAGTAGTATCATTAATATAACCAATCTTTTCTTTACAAGCTTTACAAAGCTGTCTCTAATTCCACTCCTTTATCCTGTAGGGAGCATTGCTTTTGATTGCCTTGCATTTTGTGCTTGGTTCGCCACCATTGACCTTGCTAATAGGGCAGGCTCCAGGGTCAGACATGCGCTGATACCATGTTTTGCCATATTGCAGAGGCATGTCAGTGACAGCAACATCAGAAAAATGTCCGTCCTGCCTGCAACATTGCCGGGACATATGGTTTGGCAACACTGGTCCTCACATCCACAGAAGCAGATGTGAGCAAGTGTGGAATCTCTGGGGAATAGGAACAGTCCCCCCCCCCACTAATATAAATACAATACTGGAAAATACAAAATATGCTCCTGAACAAAAAAAAGAAATAGAAGCAGTATGAACAATTAATTTGAGCCTCACATTAAGTATTTATTTGTTTTAAAGGCGTAATGTGATGTTGCTTAGAGCAGCATTGGGCTGATGTGAGATGTGTTTCCATTAAGTACTGCCTAATTAATAACATCAATAATTAAGAAACCTATTTTTCTTTCATCAGTGACCTTTGAAGAAAAAGAAGTCGACAAACATGACATATAAACCAATACCAAACTCGTCATGAGCACTTGATCAAATCCAAAGTGTGACCAAGTGCAAGATATATAAGGGACTACACAGAACACACATCCCCTGATGAACTCTAAATACAGCCTAATTAGACTACATACAATGTGTCCGTGATAAAACAAAGCCAAGGGCAAAATGAAAACTGCATTGCTGTGTTTTGGGGCTGAACCCAGCTCCCCATGTGGCCCTAGTTCTTCAATACAAGCCAAGGAGGTGAAGCAAAACACAGTATCCAGATGAGCAAGTAATCATTAGGATATAATCCTGGACTCCTGGGACAGGCACAGGCAGTTTGCTCAGAGATTACAGGCTCGCCATCATTTATTGAGCTCAAGCTCATTCTGCAGAGAAAAAAGATGAAGCTGTGACAGAGGGGGGCAAAGTGCTGATAACAATGCTTCTGCAGCTTCTTCAAACAAGCTGTCCCAGCCCAAACCCATGCCCTTTTCCATGGTGTCTGATTATAAGGTTATCCCTCCTTCCCTGAGCTGCTGTAATTGGATTAGTCTCAGAGATTTATGAAAATTAACTTTGGCAAATAGAGCATCAGTTTCTTAAAAACTCCTAATAGAGTTCTCATGTTGTAAACTGCCACAGGATGCAGCAGTGAAAGGCTGTGACAATGGCTTTGTGTGCTAAGAAGTCCATGAGCAGCAGGGGCCCCAGCAGGGGTCTAGGTAGAGCCTGGGACAGTCGTACCCACAGGTGAGGGCTGATGCAGGGCCAGCCTGAGAGCCAGGTGGCCCAACTGCCAGCAGGCTCAACCCAGTCTAATGAAGGATGTGGAGCCCAACTGGAGACACCAACATCTGCTGCTCCACAATGAGGCAGCTGAAGGCAAGCCTGGGCCAGTGTGTGCAGACGATGAGTGACCTTGAGGAAAGACCAGACACTCCGTAGGAATAAGGTTAATAGAATGAATGGCAACCAAACAAATACACTCTGTTTAAAAGACATTTCAGCAACAGCATCTGTGTCTGACAGTAAATGGTCCGTGCACTCTCAGGGTATAAATATCGCTGTTGTACCACTGTCAACCCCTCATCGACGCTGCCATTTTGTCATATTGCACACCGGGGCCTGGACTTAACCATTAGATTGTTGAGCCCTCAGTACAGTGTGGCAGTATACTGAGCAGCAATCAAGAGTGTTGGCATTGTGTAAGTGAGAAATGATTGACAGTGTGCCATGGTGTTCCCATTTATTTCTGCTCTGGAGCTGTTTTCTGTCACAACGGCTATTGATTTTTCCATAAAGTAAGAAAACAAGTGCCGTTAAGGGGCTAGGGAGGTCAGCACAAATTAAACGTCAAGATGTAAAGCTTTCAGTCCAAACCATTTTTTGCTATCAAAAATAATCTACTTACATTTGTTACACTTGACACATAATGGCTGACTTAACATTCCCTGGGAATGTGATGCTAACTGAAGGCCCTGCTCTGTCTGAAGCTTTATGAAATGAAATTATATGAAATTATTTTTTACTATTAATAAACAAGCCATTCTTAAATAACATTGCAGTAAAAAGCTAGCTAGTCATTCTCACCCCTTTTGTCAAAAATCAAACACCCAAATAGGCCCAGGAATGCTCAAATTGACCACAGACCATGTTGTTTAAATCCATTTTAAATTTTTCTTGAGATTGTAAAACTTTTGTGACTGTATTTACCAATGTGTGGATTGTGTCATGATGGTAAATGCTGAAGATTCCACCATACACATACATGCAGAACACCCCCAACATGATGTCACTGCAGAGTATCAATATCACTTCTTGAAGGTACTTGACTTTTGTCTTTAGACCTTTTCTTCATATGACTGGGTGTTCTCACTATAATTGAATGTCCACTCCATAATGTCCCTCTCCACTGCTGCTTGCAAACTCATTTACTTAGGCCAAATAAAATGCACATGAGACAGTGTGCATAGGGACACTGGGACATTCTCAGCTTTAATTACTGGCCCAAGACTGAAATTTATTTCAAAACAAATCAATACAGCACCAGGTCACTTATTTACTTGTGACACTATTTCTTGAAAAGCCATAATGAGCTGGCACGTGCCTGCAGGCATAACTATCAAAGATCCCTCCCCAGTGATTATTGCTGCTACAGGAGACAAGGCTGAGGAGAGTCTATCATTCATTTTTAATGTCAACTCAGTACGTTAAAGTGGAGCGCCATGATTGTGATCCTTTTTCAGTTTAGCTGAGGACACGTTGAATATTGACAACTGGAGAGATGAAGACAGGCATATAGATCATCTTAAATGTCGTGCTGTTTAATTGCTTCTGTCTGAAAGTAGTTAGGCCCATGACTTTTATGTTACGGGTTTAACTGCCTATTGTCCATCTCCATTTAAAGGGTAAGAAGGGCTGGCGGAATTTTGAGCACATCTTTCATAATAGATTTAATCCTGACTTTTAAAAACAATGGCACTATTAACATTTGGCTTGTGGCAAACTAAATTAAATGTGAGTTTCTAAAATGTGTGACTTTACTAGAGAAAAAGAAATGAAAGTTCCCTACCCCAGAATCTGACCTATTTTGTGCACTAAATAATAATACTAAACATACCCATCTGACATCTTCTCCTCCGCTCCGTCCTGGTGCTCACTGGCCCGTGAGAGTTTCCTCTTCCAGCACTCCTGTCCCATGAGCCGGGCTCCTTCGGTCGGTTGCTCTGCCCTCACCCAGCCACCAGGTCTGTTCTTCGATCCTGACAGATGCTGCATCCTCGATGCTGATTTTTGGTCCACATTAGGACCCCTCAGCTTGGGCTGTGTTCGGGGGATGACATCAGAGGTCATGCGTTTGACCTTCCTCTTCCTCCTGAGTGGTCGTCCTGGTGAATTCTCAGTGTAAGAATCATAGTGTGGCCATGAGGTTGGCCTGCTTCTAAGGGGCCGCCTCCTCATCTGCTGCCATCGGCTGCTTGTGCTCCTTTCATCCGAGTCACTGCAGTTGGCCACAGAGGTTGTGGCTAGGCTCCTTCCATAGCCTCTGGAGGCTTCATCCATACTGGACTCAGAGGCCTCGAGCCAGTAGTGATACAGAGAGGAGTGCCTGTGCCTGCGCTGTGCTCTGCGCCGCCGCACCTGTCTGCGCTGCGGCTGCAGGGGACTGAGCACCATCTCCTCCCACAGCTCCCCCAGTTTACTCTGCTCTGACGACTGCTCCAGAGCCAAAACCAGGTCCTGCACCAGCTCATCCATCATGGTGCTACACAAAACAACACTACTGTCAGTGTTTACATTAACAAGTATTTCGTTCAGCATATAACACTCTGTTTACACAGAAAAATGTAAGATATAATTCACGCAGTCATTTCATCTCTAAACTAAGGAACAACGGATTACAGCGGGTCTAGCATAAATAGTGCAAAGAGCCAGTTATGAATCAGCTACTAAGATGGGCTATTACGTAGTATTTAATGTCATTTTTATCTACAGGCACACAGCAGCTACCAATAAGAAGCTGTATTTAACAGTCTGTTTGCGACAAAAGGGAATAGAGCTAGAAATGCTTGCATGGTCTATATTCAAAGCACTGCTGCAAGCCCTCCATCACAGCGGCGAAAATGAGCTGCATGCCCTGTGCATTCTGTTACATAACATCAGACACGTGAGGACGTAACGAGGGCGGATCGACTGAATCCTAAACACATCTAACGCGTTTATTCTTCTGTTCGATGTACGAAATACTGACAAAACGACACTCTGATCACGGCGTAAAGCAAACACTCACCCACCGTTCTGCCTTGTTTTGTTTTCAGCAAAGCTGACACAGGACACGCACTTCCGCCTTGCTTCCAGCCAATCCCGTTACTCCCTTCCCCGATGACGCATCTGTCAAAAAGTGCGCGACTCAGATAAGACAATAAAAGTGACAAATAAATATTACATTATTCATCTCCTTATAATCAAATCAAATTTTATATTCACTACTCTAAATTCCTCAATAGATAATATATACATATTTTCCATTTCCTACAATAATATAAATGTAAAGCAATAAAAAACAAAGAGCCTCACAAACAAAGTGCCTCTAGTTGTAAAGTGATAGTATGTAACTTTCCATAAAAATAGTTAAAACCATACTTTGGGAACATTCTCCATGGAGATATATGTTTTTATACTACACTGTGGAAGATTATTGCCAAAACAACATTTCCATGGAAATAGTCTGGATGGGGCCCTCCTCGAGGTTTGGTAAGGATCAGCTGTGTAAAGGTGCAAGACTGCTCAGAGTAAGAACACATATTTTTCTATGTTTTCAGTGCAATAAAAACGCCCATAATGGCAAAAACATACTTTTATTTTTGTGTATTTTTTGACATACCATGACTTTAATGATCAACCAACCAATGATATGAAATGATATTTTTAAATAATCAATAATAGATAAAATGCAGCCTGTAGTGATGCACAGCTTGATAGAGATACTGTGTTTCAATCAGTTTCAGTGCTTATAGCCAAAACCCTTTTTTAATGTACTTGCATATGCCTATTTTCAGAACACAACCTGTGCTTGACTGTATCTTTTCCTACATCTGTTTAATGTCAGTCAGCTGTCTCTCAAGTGTTGTTGTATAGCCTATTTAAACTCATTTATTGCTTCTTTCAAGTCAGTTCATATAATAAAACGAAAACTCTGTGAAAGCAAGTATAAAAGCCTTATAATCTTTCATCTTTCTCTTAATAACTGCAAGTTTCCCTCTGGGCCCAGGGGAGAAGGCCTCTCTGTGCTGCTGCCACCTTATCTGAGGAGTCCACATGTTAGTGTGCACACGAGTGACTCCCAGCGCAGCCCCCAGCCTGCTCTCACTGACGCCTGTGGGGACGCAGCGCTCCTGGGCTTACTATTGTTCTGGCCTGGGAGCCTGTCCGGAGAGAGCCTCACAAGCTCGAGAGCAGAAAAACTTTAGCCACTGCTTCATTAAGAGCCTGCCTTTCACAAGCAAACATATCAAAAATGGCCCCCTTTCAGCAGCAGTAATTAGCAATTTAGAAGCCTTGGCCCCTCAGGATATACACTTTCAATTTAGTCAGCAGCTTTAGTTTCTGAGGCACTTAATATTCATTGTTTCTTCCTTCTTCCCAATTTCTCTACGTACATTGTCTGGTCTTTCAATGGCGATAAAAGTGTTTTATCTTTTCGTGTAATTCTTCTTTTCAAAGAAACCCTCAGCAAGAGAAGTCAATTTTTTATAAATAATTTTCTATGGGATTTGGAAAGAGTGAAATTAATATGATAGCAAAGGCTCTCCAGGAAGTGCTAAGCTGCATAACATATTGAGCTTTTGCCTGGTCGATAAAGCCTGTCTGTAAATAGTCTAAAAAGAACAGTGAATGTGGGGTCTAATTATAATATGGTACGGATAATTGGAAATAAGTTGAGATAATATCAACTAAAAACAGTGAATAAAGCGTTTTACTTTTGGATTGATGTAAAGTGTTTTCCAAACTACTTTATAAGCTCAGGCACATATACCTCAAGGGGCCAAGAGTGACACTTATCTCTGCCACTGTGGAGCCATTGTCTCTAAATGAATCCACTCCTATTCATTTCCAATCAGCATTGTGTAATAGAAATAATTGATTTTCGCTTCCTCCCACACCAATGGAAAAAAGTGTGATTAAACATTTTGTCAGTAAATCTGAATTCTGAGATCCCATCAACACTCGAGAAAAAGAGGCAACTCATTAAAGTGAAAAAGAAAAGGCTATGATGGGAAAGTGGCTGGGAATGGAATAATGAATGGAGTCCGAGTGAGCTATCTTTCCCAGGCAGAGCGCCACTAGGGATGCAAACTCTCCACCACCAGAAATGAGCTACCTATCTGTGAAAGAGTGACTGCTCCATCCTATTTGATTTGGTTCCACTATCATCTCTTAAGAAGATGTCAGCCTTGCTTCTTCTATTGCTCTGAGCTTTTATCAACCGTAGACGATTTCCCTGCAAAAAAGTAAGAGAGAGAGAGAGAGAGAGAGAGAGAGACGCATTGGAGTGCCTTTCAGAGAGCAACACTAAAGAATAAGTGTTATGTGATAAAAAGGGGCTTGTTAAATAGATCTGTCTATTTGTATGGTAATAATGATCGCTTAAAGACCCAGGGCTCCGTGACTTGTAGAACAAGGAAACAATTCTGTATTCAAGTGTTGTGTTAGCAGCGCTCTCCCCACGACCTTGTGAAACTTTAATACAGTAAAAAATGAGTTGGATTCTGGGGGATTTTTCTTACTCCTGTCTTCAGATCCCTGCCTCTTCCCCATTGAGACATGCTTCCATTGAAAATCCTTGTCCACTTCAAGCAGGACGTGTATCACAAGGTTTGACCCTATTAGTCCAAATAAGGCAACCTGCTATTCCAGGGTTTGGGCTTCCAGTTATTTATGGATTTGATTTCCTGGTATATGCAAAGATTTTTTTTCCCATTCAAAAGACAATATTTATATGTGTTTATATATATGCAATATTTGATTTAAATTGTTCATCAGTATGGCAATTTTCATCATTCTTAAACCCATGGATAGTCATATTTACACATGCGTACATCCTTCTGAAGTAATTTCTGTGTACAGTGAACCACTAGCTGACTTTATCTTCATTATTTAGCAAAAGACAGTACACTATATGCAAATGTCAGTTTGCCTTATTTCAGACTCCAGGGGGCCATATAGAAATGAGTCATAAAGAGAATTGAAATAGACTTTTGATAAATTCATAAGTTTAAACAACTGTTAGTTTTTAATAAAATGTACAATTATTGAGTTATGGAAAAGAATATGCCATAGAGCAGAAATCTAAAAATCAAACACTGATTATGTGGGTGTGTAAAGTGTAGAGAAATCAACAGCAGACACATTTAGCCCTTATAATGGACTGCTCTCTACAATGAAAACACTTAAAGAACCACGTGGACTGCTCGCTGCACTCTCTCTGCAGAAAGCACTACAACTAGATTGATTGGTCTGCACAGTTTGGCTGCTTAATCAGAGCCTGTTAGCTGGAAACAAGCATCATTTATAGCTGATTATCCTCCCAGACAGAAAAATGTGAAGCTACAATTCACAGAGGAACTTTCCAATCTTCATTTGAACTCCAGACTCCTACTAATTAGGCAATAATGGTCTTTCTTTTAACTTCAACCTGGGTAGGGCCAGACAGCCCCTATCACTTGTATATTTGTTGAATCCAGAGCCACTAAAAATAGCCTACATATTTTTAAAGGCTAAACAACCCAACAAACCACATTTGGGCGCAAAATTACTTTCAGTTCATTTGCTGAATATACTAGTTACAATAACTTGACTTAACTGAATGTACAAATGTACAACTCTAAAGACACAGGCAATCACCTGTTTATCCACAGTTCTCTCTCACTGGACCAGAGAGAGAAACTTGACTGAGCTCTCTCTCTCACTGTAGCAGCCAGGGGAAATAAGGCAGGTCACAGCACAGGGAAACACATGAGGCACATGCAGACACACAGCATTTACTGAACAATGCCCTACATCAAGCATTATTCTGGTATTGTGGACCTTTGTACAGTTTAAAATAGAAAGCTTAAAACACCTCCAGATGAGCAGTACTTTCACTTATAGGTCCAGTCCAGGTGCTGCAATGGGATGCCCACAGCCTGGCCAGCGTTTCCATCTATCTGCAGGAGAACTATAAAAATCTGTCAGGAGACAGGGGAGACTTTTTTTTTTTTTTGCTTGGCTCAGCCCCTGGCAGATTGAGAGCCTCCTGTAATGCACAGGTCTGTTTTTATTATTCTTGCTGGGGGAACACTATTTCATCAAGTGCATGATTCCTCAGAAGAGAGGAGATAGCCCCTACCCAGTTATATTTCTTCCAATCAAACATTCCAAGGGGAAAAAATGAGTGGGTGCCATCAAATCCCAGAATAATGCTGCCAGATTTTATGTAAAAAGAAGGAATGATGGACAAATACAGGAAGGCAAGACAAGTTTAATGATGTGTGTTCAGGAGCTGAGATTGGAAAACTGACAGAGAAAAGCAGCCTCTTTGCTGGAATATAAATTGTTGTGCGCTGTAAAAAGGCTTTTATCTGGAGTGAATATGAGACGTAATACACAGGTCAGGGTTAAGTCATTTTCTCCGGCAAGTTAAGCGAATAATGAAGGCAAGCCTGCGCGGAGAGGAGCACTGCTACTGCCAGTTTGTCTTCATTTATTATGCCAAATCTCATGATTTTGGCGTTGGTGCGGGGAGTGCTCTGGCGCGCACCGGTGGACGACATATCGCTTAATTTACACAAGGTAATGAAAGCAGGGAATGGGAGGACAAAACAATTTACCTGCTGACACAGGAAGAAGTGATTTGCGAACACAGGGTGAACGAAAGAACAGAGGGGCCGAGTGAGCGCAGATAGAGAAGAACAAAGGAAGAGGACATAGGCCAAAACAATAAAACTCAACTTAAAAAAGCAGAGTACCAGACACCGCTCAGCAGTGATGAGGACTGTGCTCCCAGACAAACAACAACACATGCAATCAGACAGAAATGGACCTCAAATCTCCAGGCTGTGCACTGACAAGGCCTCCTTTTACTCCTCCTTTAAACCCAATTGTAATCACTTATGAGAGGACCACTTGTGAGCCAGGGACAGCTGTGTTCAGTGCCACTCTGTAGCACAACAGGTATTTTCCCCAAAAGCACAGCTTTCTAAAGGCTGTCTCAAGTCACTCTTGTCATATTCAAAAAACACTGCACAAGACTATACAATTGTTCAAATCTGAAATACAACTTTAACTGTCAGTTCAGTAAATTGATCTATATTCT